TCGACCAAACAACATATTCTCTCGGCAATTCAATCTTAACTGAACATAACATGATTTTATGAACATAATATCACATAATGGTCGGAGGCTTTGAACATGTCATGCAATTGCACTCGGGTGGCCCGTGGTGCGCACTAAGTGTGCGACCACTCCCTCTCGGCCAACCACAATAACAAGACTAATTCATCCGAACACTTAAGTTCAATTCAACATAATTTCGCAAATAAAGGCTAAACATGCGAGGGTTATTCGGTGAATTGTTAACTTAACATATACGAGTGATCATGCACGGCCCGTGGTGCGCTACGTGCGACACCACGTTATCCTCGGCCAAACATTTCGAACATGAATTATTATCCGAACATTATAGCTAATTTAAACATGAAATTGCACATAAAAACTAAGCATGCAAGATTGTTCGGATAATTCAATGAAAATAACATCATGATTCGGGGCATTAACTTGAAATGAGGCATGAACGGCACGGCTATACACCAATCAAGCATGCATGACCAAATAAAATCAAATCTTAATTAAACATGATAATCTCGGGAACTTACCTCTTGCTAAGCCTTCGGACTAAGCTCTACGAACTCTCGGCCGTGACCTTTCCCGTGCGCGTGCGTGCGTTGCGGCGTGCGGTAGCGTGCGATGCTTAGTGCGCGTGCTCTCGGCCCTCCGCACTCTCGGCAATGTGCTCCCGAAAATAATACACAACTCACGCTATGCTCTCAATACCTCACTACCCTCGGCACTTAGAAGAAAATAGGCGGAGGAAAATGAAATAACTCTTACCCAAGGCCAACTTATAGCATAGGCCGAAAGCATAAAATGGCATGCAACTTGCCTCAACATTCACGCCCACAAGCCAACTAATTGCACGGCAATTAAGGGCTGAACGCACGGATATTTGAGGACATAGGGACAAAGCGCACGGGACGAGGCTTATTTGGAAGGTTGTGCGGCCTTGGGCACTCCGCCCATTAGAGGACAATGGAGCGCACGGACACACACACTCACGCGGCACGGCTTAGCTTGAGGACAAGGCGCACGGATAATGAGGACGAGGCACCTTGGTCACTCCGCCCGCTAGATGCCAAGAGAAGTGCACGGACTCTTGCGGACACGCCTCGGACAACGCGCGCGCACGGTCTCCACGTGAAGGTTGGGCTCGGATTCTCGTACGGACACATGCACCCACACGGCACTCACGCACGGCAATGATGCACACGACTTGGAAATAAAACCGAACACTCGCATGCACGCACGGTACTTGAACATGAACTCGGAATAAAATCCGAACAATTTGCTAATCTCGTGATTAAGTTAAATTAATCACTTAATTATGTTTAATTACTCAATTAAACATAATGCTAAATTACCAAAATTATTTCGAACGTAAACGGTACGTCGAAAATAGTTCCGGTAATTTTGACTGAAATAACTGAAAATATTTACTTCCGAAAAATAATATCGGAACTGAAATATTATTATACTGAGAAAAGTTGGGATATTACATGGCGGGTCTCGACCGGAGCCGCAGCAGCGATCGCCTCCGCGAGAGGCTCCTTTGTAACACCCCGGAATAATATTATATTAATAGCTCGACTTATTTATCGGTATTAGTATTATTTTAATTATGCGGAGTATTATTTATATTAATTGCATAATTTATGTATTACTAAGCCCATGCAGTATTTTAAAATCGAGCCTAGTAGTAATTATTTACCGAGCCCGACCTTATTTAGTCTGTCCATTTAACGGTATTTATTTTCCTAAATCGAGCCCAATTGATTAGGCCCGATTTTTAAAGCCCAATAGCACAAAAACCCTAAGCTCCCTACTCCTATAAATAGCATGTTCCTTGTCTCCCAACACCCAACACAAAAAAAGGAGCAAACCCTAGCCACTTTTCACTATTCATTGTTTTCCCCACATTTTTTTTAAGATCCAAGATCCAAACACCCCACACCTCCATTAAAGCTTAGACCACCACCATCATGGCTTGATAATCCGGCGACCAGCTCCCATCTCCGGTCACCGTGGCCAGTTTTCCGGCAAGAACCGACCAACTCACGCACCAAACCCACAGCTCAAGCCTGCAGCAACTCAGTCCGGCCCGAGTCCGTTTTTCGTCGAGCTCTCCTCAGGCCGACGCCACCACGAGCTCGTGACGGCAACTCACCTTCGAACTCCATCTTTTCCGACGGGTCCTCAGCAGCTCCTTCTCAGTCACGCAGCAGCTTCGTTCCAAGCTCACCACCTCACCTTCAAGCTCAACCTCGCCGGAAAATCGCGAGCCTACAGCCGGCGTGCCCTCGCAAGATCCATACGCGCAGCTCAAGAACGGCCGGAAAACCTTCACGCCGGTTCCATCTGAGCCACTGGCCGTCGTCTTCAGCCCAGCTCCTTCGCCGCGAGCTTGACCTCAGTCCGCGACCCACGACCACAAGCCCAGCAGGTCCGACCCGTAACCCGGGAGCTCAGCCCCCAGCAACTCCGCCGCGTCACTCCGAACCGCGCCCAGCTCCACCACGCCGCCGACCAGACCACACGACCAGACCCGGCGAGCTCCCTCACGCGACCCAAACGGCAGACCCGCGCCCAGCTCTTCAGATCCGCAAGCCGACCCGGTTCCAAGCCCCAACAGCTCCAGATCTGCTGCAACCCATTTGGGTTTCTTTGACCGGTCAAACAGCATCCCTCAGCCCAAAATCCGGTCCAAACAGCTCCTAGTTGGACCGGTCCTGCCCGACCGGCTTCTTGTTCCATTTTTCGTCTATTTTCTAGTCCGATCCGTTCGTTTCCGAGCTCGTGAGGTATAACATCTAAAGATTTAAATTATATGGAATAGATTGATGTTAAAATCGAGCTAAAAATTAATTGAGATGTGGATTTGAATTGGATCGGTATACACGAGCTTAAAGCGGATAAATTGATATTTTCGATAAGCGCGTTGAAAATGTCGAAAAAATATGATAAAATTTGTATAGCTGACTTGAGGCCTAGGTTTTAATTTCGTAATTTTCGGTGCTCGTTTAGTATGTTAACTGGATTTTTGAATATGTAGCTCAAATGCCCGGTTTTTGATAAATATGAAAAGACCTCGGAATTCGATGAAACTTTCACGAAAAATCCTATAAATGATGAATATGTCGTGGTTTAAATTTC